CGCTCCCTCAGCGCTGACCCTCCGACAGTGCGGCGCTCCCTCAGCACTGACCCTCCGACGGTGCGGCGCTCCCTGAGCACTGACCCTCCGACAGTGCAGCTGGTAATAACTGTTTTAGAAATGCGTTGCCAGTCCTAGCCTCTGCCTTGCCCCGGGCCTGAAATACCAGACCCCCGTCCCCAGGAGCTGTGACCCCGTCCCTCCCTACGCCCTCCCCTGTACCCCCCATAACACCAACCCCCACCCTGGAATATTGCCTGTACTCACCCGATTGGCGCAGACGTATCCCTTTGGGACCAAGAAATCCCGAATAAAGGTGGATTTTCCGGCTACAGAGAGGTGTGGCGAGGGGAAGACAGAGAGAGAGAAGGAAGCCTCAGAGTAGGTCCACATTTATTGAGACAGAGCGCTGAGCCCAGATCACAGTGTTGGTCTCATAGATCTGGTTAAGCAGAACTGCCGTGTGTTTGTAACAATTAGCGACGATTAATTGTCCTAATTTGCAAGGTCATAAATTTACCACCCCGTTTGTAGCTGGCCCCTGCAAAGTAGGAGGGGGAGGGAATACTCCCCACTTGCCCCTGGATGGGGGGCAGCTCTGACAACACTTGAGAAGCTCGACACCATCCAGGGACAGAGCAGACACCCCCCCCCCCCCAACCCCCGCCCGATGGGCACCACATCCACAAACACCACCCCCCCCCTTCCCACCCCAGCACCGCTCAGGCACAGCCGCAGCAGTGTGTACCATCTACAAGATGCCCTGCAGAGACTCACCGAGGCTCCTTAGACAGCACCTTCCAAACCCCCACGGCCACTTCCATCCAGGAGGGCAAGAAGGGGGCAGCAGGTACATGGGAACACCAGCCCCCATCCCTGCAAGATCCCCCACCCTCCCACCACCTCCGAGCCACTCCCCATCCCGACTCAGAAATATATCGGCCGTTCCTTCAGTGCGGCTGGGTCCGAATCCCTGGAATTCCCTCCCCTGAAGGACACTGTGGGTCTACCCTACAGCACATGGACTGCAGCGGTTCAAGGAGGCAGCTCACCCCCACCAACCTTCTCAAGGTGATGGGGGCAACTAGGGACGGGGCAACCCCCAGATCCCCGCGAGGGAATGAAAACAGACCAGCTACGGTCTAATTGTTTGCCAGACAGACTCAAAGAGCTGAATAGCTTCCCTCTGCTGTTGCTGAGGGGAACATCCATGTAGCTAATGCTAAACACCAATTCTCCCTGAAGGTCATACACCCTCGGAGTCACATTTCACTGGAGTTAACCAGAGAGGGGGATGTCAGTTTAAGATAACAGGTACCAGGGCCAGGAAGGTCAAGAATGCCCTTCCACAGCCAGGGTTTGGGATCTTCCTCCACCCCCAGTGTCCTCTCACTGTGTCAGCACAGGGTTCAGGGACCCATGACCTCAAAGGCACATCACCACTGCACCGCCAGACTGAAGGCCTTCAGGCTAAACCAGCAGTCAGGATTTATTCCACGGGCAACGATTACACACAGTCAAAACTCAGCACCGCAGGGCAGCGGAAAGTGGGGAGCGGGCTCGGAGGGAGGCTGCTGGAGGGGAGAGAGAGAGAGAGAGAGAGGTCGGCAAAACAGAGGGAGAGCGGAGAGCAAGGACTTACATCCAGGAAATCCGACGGCCACCACCACCTCAGAACTGGGCGAAGTAAGAGGCGCAGAAGGAGGCTCGTGCTGTGGGATGCTGAGATCGAGGTTCCGCTGAGGGCGGGGGGTGGGGGGGGGAGGGGGGGGGGGGGGGGGGGGGGGGGGTAGAGAAGGAGAAGGTTAGCACGCACACAAACAGTCATGGAATCTTTATGGGGCAAATAGAGGTCATTCATCCCACTCTGCCTGCACCGGTACTATCCCCCAATCCACCCACAGCACGCCCCACCATATCCCTGTATCTCTGTTCCCATCCCTGTGTCCCTTTGGATCTGCCTCCCCCACATTTCCAGGCAGTGCATTCCAGCCCCTGACCACTCTCTGAGTGAGAAAACTTTCTCTCACATCCCCCTCCCCGTCTCGTTAATTGTTCCTTTTCCGAGCGGGAACAGCTTCTCCCTCTCTCTGTGTCCAGCCCCCAGCTCCGTGATTTTGAATATACCTCTATCACATCTGCCCTCTCTCGGTCACTTTCTCTCCGAGGGAGAACAGTTCCCAGTTTCATCAATTAATCCTCATCGCTGGAGTCTCTCATCCCCTGGGAGCGTTCTTGTAAATCGCTTCTGCACTCTGTCTCTGTCTCTGTCGCTCTCTCCTGCTCTCTGTCTCTCTCTCTCTCTCTCCCCTCACAACTCACTCACTCTCTCTCTCTCCCCCATTCTCACTCTCTCTCCCACTCTGTCTCTCTCTCCCACTCTGTCTCTCTCTCCCACTCTCTGCTTCTCTCTCTCTCTCTCCCTCCCACTCTCTGTCTCTCTCTCTCTCTCCCACTCTGTCTCTCTCTCTGTCTGTCTCTGTCTCCCACTCTCTGCTTCTCTCTCTCTCTCTCCCTCCCACTCTCTGTCTCTCTCTCCCCTCACAACTCACTCACTCTCTCTCTCTCCCCCACTCTATGATTCTCTCCCTCCCTCCCCTCCACTCTCTGTCTCTCTGTCACTCACCCTCACTCTCCATCGCTCTCACTCTCTCTCCTGTTCCTGTTTAACAGGATCGAGGAGGAGGGGCTGAATGGCCTCCTGTTCCTCTGTAACAGGCTGGGGGAGGGGTGTTGAATGGCCTCCTGTTCCTGTGTAACAGGCTGGAGGAGGAAGGGGGG